TGGTTGATAAGTGAAGCAAACCACTATGACACACACATATCTATATAACAAACGAGCACATTCTGGACATGTATCCTGGAACTTAAAGTTTAAAAAAAAAAAAGAGAGCTTTTTTGTTGTTGTTGTCGTTGCTTTGTTTTGATATTCAGTACATGAAGACTTAGTTTAGGATAACTTTTTTTATCATTAAGAAATATTCTTGTATTTTTAGTTGCCTTTTATTTACAAAATAGTTTTGTAAATCAACTTTATAAAAATAGTATTTGGATTTTAGTATGGTACAGTGTGTTTAGGTTTGACATTGTCCCTATTCCCCTATATTCTAGCGCAGTCCCCTGATTTCTAAACTTATGTTTTTGTATTTATGCAGACTTTCTGGCCCCATGGACATTTCAGCTGGAGATACTTGTATTGGATTTTCAAAGTGGGAAAATATATGATGTTTTCCCAAATTTATTTATAAAGTTCATAGGAATCAAACTTAATTTTATTTTTCCAGGCTTTATGCCTTTAAAAAGGATGCTGTTCAGGAGAATATCCTCTGTGGTAAAATTTTGGTGCATGGTTGTAATCATAAAATACGAATTGTTTAGTTGTTTACTTTATAGTATATTACAGAAAACACAGTTATCGGTGAGGAAAAGCTGAGCTGAAGCAGGTGGATTTACAGGAAAAGAACAAGAATGGGGCCAAAACAAAACCAAAAAAAACTCCTGAGAAACACACAAATGCATTAGGGTTTTCTTCCTCTCTAGCTAATGTAGCTGATTTGAAAGGAAGTGATTGCTTCGTTGAGTCAAGACACTTCGATGATTGTTACTAACCTTCCTCTGGTGGGCAATTTCATTCTCACTCTTATAGCCCCCAAGGAACTGCATGGGTGCACACTAGAGGGTTTCCTGACCAAAGTTCATGTACAGTGTAATTTAAGTAAAAGCTCTGATTATGTTCTGTGCTGCTCTGAGTTAAATGATAGGAAAACCTGATATGTGTGGAAGGGCAGAAGGCAAGTGTGTGTGTTTTCCTCTCCTAGTTCAATAAAAGATAGCACAATAAATGAATTAACTAATGCGATTCTAGACATTAAGCAGCTAATACTAGGAAGTTGGAAGCAAAAATAGAGTATCAAGAATATTGAGAAGACTAATTTACTGATTTATTCGTTTATATATCACATCTGTTTGCTTCAATGTAGAACCATACTTCAACATATATATGTGTATCACACACACATGGGATTGGCATATATTCATCTGAATATTACAAGGAGTTAAATATCAGCCATATTAAAATCTATCGTTTTTGTATTGCTAAATGCCCTACTTTGAATTTCTCAGTGGGTCTGTTAATTTTCCTGTGAGATGATTTTAGATATATCCAAAAGCATACTCTGAATGATTAGGACACTTTAGGAATTGATTCTATTAGCTATCTACCTTCTGGTAATATACACCATATCCTTAAAACCATCCTACTTCATTAAATCCTGACTCCACCCAATGAAAGGCGGCAAAAGGAGCTACTGTTATGATGGAGTCCATTGTTTCTAAATTTATAACAGGTTCCGTGGGTTTACTCTTCTAAATTCTACCTCCTGTGTTTAAATTATTGGTTTATTAAGACAAGGAATAGCAATAGAAACAATCATTTTAATATTTGAGAGTGTGTTTTTATTTGATTCATAGGCTGACTTATGTTATGCAAGCAATTAGAAGGATAGCTTATTAAAATAATAATAAATACATTATAGCTTTACTTTCTCAATTGTCTTGAAAGCATAGTGGCTTAATCCTAAGTGGCACCCTTTGTTTGACACAAAGGTGGAAGCAAGAGATGCAGCTCCCACCCCTTCCTGGGGGTCTGACCATCCTTACCTGGCACTTTTTTCTCATCACTTTTCACTATCTAATAAACTATAAAATATACATATTTATTGTGCTTATTCTTCCACTCACAGAATGTAAGGTCTGTGAGGAGAGAGATTTTTGGGTATTTCATTTTACTGCTATAGTCCCATAATAAGCACTCAGTAAGTATTGGTTGAATGAATGAATGAATATGAAACATTGGAAGGTGACACTGTACAACAGTGCACTAGGAATTTCAGCAAAATCATTAGTTAATGTTGATTCTGGGGCCAGTGAAGAAGTTTGGCTTCCATTATTCACTTTATTAAATTGTAGCTTTAGGAGGTCAAGAAAAATTGAGGAACATCTACCAACAAATTGTACTTTCCATGACTTTATGACCTGGAGTCTTTTCTCCTTTGCCCAGGTGTCAAAAATTTCTTTCCCCTGTATTTCTGACTGGCTAATTCCTAATCACCTTTCCAAAAACTTATTTCCAGTAGCCATTTCTCCAAGAAGTCTTCTTTGACACCCCCGATATGGGGTAGATGCTTCTCTGATATTCTCAACCAGAATTCCATTCTTTAAATCATACCAGATTGTATATGTTTAGCTTCCTTCTTCTCCCCTGCTCTGAAGGCAGGGGTCATAGTTTTCCTGTTGTTGTTGTTGTTGTGTTTGTTTTTCAAATTCAAACAGTGCTCAGTTCCTAGAAGGCACTCAATTAAAAATAAAAGTGTGGGGGTAGGTGGTGATGATGGGGAGGAGAGATGGGATGGGGGAATAGAGAAAAATATGAATAAAAGGTGATGAAAGGTTATTTAATCAAGAGAGAACATCTAGGCAATGAAAGGATTAGGGTATTCCAATAGGTTTCCAAGAGAAGTTTATTTAACTAAGGAATTCAGGTCATATTATAAGACAGGTAATATTCTAGGCACTGAGGGTGCTGCAGTGAGCTAAGAGATAATGTCTTTGCATTCACAGAGGCTATATTTTAGTGGGGAAGACAGACAGTAGTTGAGTATAAACTATATTTGTAAAACAATGCTTAACAGAATGTAAAATTAATATAAAATGCACTTAAATTATAAAAATACATAAATTCTAGATATGTATTACAGTATAGAACTTGGGGATGTCTAAAGGATTTCAGAACTAAGAGTGTCAAAGCTGTCTCTTTGCTCAAGTGACCTCAGAATTCTTTCCTTGTAAAATGCTGTACATGGGATCCCAGAATGGGAAACGCAAAATGAATCCCTCCAGTATTGGCACTTGTAACCTAACACATGTACGTCAACCCACATGAAACACAGAAGGAACAATCTGTATAGATCTTAAGGGGCCCTGTTTCCAGTTGTGTGTGGAGGTATCGAGCTCTGAAGGGAAATGGTAGTCTGAAGGCTCCCAGGGTGCAGGCCTCATTCATGTGCAGCTGGACAAGACCCCAACATCTCCATTGACAACAGGGATGCAAATGGTTTGAGAGCCTAAAAACTAAATACACTACCCCAGACTTTTGGTTAAACATGACTTAACTTTTTTCACCCTCCAAGGTTTTGATTATCTTGGTAATATTTGCTAGTCAGTTATAGAAGACAAATAATTTGAGTTTTGTATTGGATTGGAGAACCTTCCAGACTATGGGTACCAGTAGTTGATTGACAATATAAGGACTATGCTACCATCTTTGTGCTAATATAGGTGAATTATTTTACCAGCATATGGAAGGGCATAGTTAGAGTATCACAGTGCTTTGTGGTAGAGAGAGAGAGAGAAAAAAAAACAATTACAGTGAATGAGGAAGAATGGTGTTATTGCAGTACATAAGACTTTGATTACATACTACCAAGATTCCTATCAGCCTAGTAGTTGTTGACAGATAAGTAACAAAAATGAAACTCATTTATTCTTTCCTTATTGAGACCTCAAGGTAAAGCAGATTTTCAGTTTTTGTACTTAACTGCGTTGATAGAACAGAGACTGACACAAAAATGTGTCAGTCCAGAAATAGAAATTAAACCTAGGTTCACATCAAAATCTCATTTAGCCTTGGAAAAGGGGCTGCCATTTGGATTACTTTTGATCCTAAAACAAATACACTAAAGAATATCACAGTATACCTATTATGCATTAATCCTATTATGTATTAAACCTTCCCTGCGAACCATACTTTCAAAGTTGTTGTTTTCATTCTACAAGGCTTTATTTCTTTTGCAATGTTTGAGGCAACTTGAATTATCATCAGAGTAGCGTTCATTTTGCTAGCCACAGACATATACATTTCAGTCTGCAGGAAGTATGAAACTAGATTTGGAAAATTAATAGCAGACCCTTTCTTCTATTACAAAGTTATACCTCATGCTACAGTTTGATCATGAAGATAAGGACAGAGTAAGCGGGAGACGTGATGTGAGAAATTTTGGTTAGTGGTGTTGAGATTGTTGATGTGTGTGGGATAAATTTATGGCTAAGTCATTTGTATCTTCCCTTCATGTTACTGAAGTTGACATAAAAAAGATCTATAAGCAAGCTTCTCCCTTCCTTCCTTCCTTCCTTCCTTCCTTCCTTCCTTCCTTCCTTCCTCCTTCCTTCCTTCCTTCCTTCCTTCCTTCCTTCCTTCCTTCCTTCCTTCCTTCTTTTCTCCCTCCCTCTCTTCCTTTCTTTCTCTCTCTCTTTCTTTTCACCTAACTAGCAACATGTACATTCTGCTGTAGTTTTTCATAATTAAGATAGTGCTAAATGGCCTGTGGAATTCTGGACACAACATCATGATACACTTAGTGAAATATAAGTAAATATAATTATCAGTGAGTTCTACACATCATTATAATCCAACTACTTCCATTTCATGAGTATATCCCAAAATAGTTTGGCTTAAGATTTTTATTATTATTCTAAAGTCTACATTTGATAATTTTCTCATTAACTTTTTAGCAACAGAAAGATAGCATGAACTTGTTTCTTGAATTACCTTTCTGACCTTTTGCAAGATGATAATTACAAAAAAGGGAGGCCTGGAAGACTTGTAAAAAAATTAAGCTTATAAAAGAGCTAAAATGGTCCTTCTTTGCTGGTGTCGATTTCAAAATTAACATTTTGGTTCATGTGCTTCTAATAATCACTGACCCTTACCTCGTGTACTTTCCACAGGAAATGAATACGGCAGAAATTACTTTGACCCACTGATGGATGAGGAAATAAACCCAAGGCAGTGTGCGATGGAGGTCAGCAGAGAAGGTGAGCTAGAATTAAGTATGTAATTTTTGTGTCAGAATATTCTTTTCCATTCATGAAAATGAGGTGACAAAGATCACCCATGCAGTTCCATTTAGATTTTGCAGCTTACAATTTAAATGATAAGTTTTAACCACTAACAACATGATGGGCAGCGAAGGTAATTTTTCATCAAGGACAGTGGGCTGGTCAGATGGAAGAAACAGTGATGTGCTTTCATCTGATGCTACTGTGAGCAGTTTGATGCCATCATAAGGCCCATGTATGTGTCTGAGGAGCGTCATCACCTTCAAATGCATCTCTGCTTTTTGAATTTTAAATGAGCATTCTTCAACAAACTGCATCTAGCATGTGAGATTTCCATATCTTGTGATGACTGAAGTTCTTTCCTTGAATTCATGGTACCACCACCTCACTTTTGAGAATTATGAAGGGGAAGTGATATGATAGCAATTTCCTCTTCTATAATCTCGAATACTAATTGTGGTTGTAAAATAATAATTCAAAATTGTTCCTTAAGTGCAGAGTATTATGCATATTTTATAGTTTACAAAATAGCATTTTTATAAAGGTTATTGATGCGATATTGACAATGATAAATGTTACTTAGAATCAGCTGCAGTCTAGATCATATCCCACCAGTGGGTGCCAGTCATTGAGTCTGCACTTTTTAATAAAACACTAGGGTAAATTCTCACAAAAAGGACTCAAGCATAGTGCAAAGATTATTTTACAAAGTAGCTCTCGATAACCTATTTTTAAATGATGCAGAATCCACAGATATTATCAAAAGACCTATGTGCAAGATAAGACAAGGACTTAGTCTCAGAGTCAGTTTTCACTGGTAGCTCAAAAGCCAGAGTGGATGTGAGGCTGGAAAAGTTCCACCTTCTATATGCCCAAACACACTTGGGGAGAAAGAGACAATTCTAGTGATTTCTGGGGAGAGGTGTTGATTGAATTACCATTGAAGTCTGTTTAAATTTCTTAGGAATCACAATATATGGTTATATTTGGTGGAATGTTTGTAATGCGAGAACTCCCTAATTTGGGAAAGGTAACTTAATAAGTTGTGTTCAATGAATAAGGAATGGTTCTAACTACATACAGGTAAGTTTTATAAAACACCTTTTCCCTTCCCTAGTCAGTTACTATTGTCTGACTCCCGCAGCTAACATGGGGTCCCCCGTTTCAGAGCAGGAAGCTCTTGCTGTGTATTTACCTGTAGCCAGATCCGTGCTGGTGTGTGCTGCAGGAGGTGGGGCTGGCCTTCTTCCCAGCTGCGGGTTCCACCTTTCTAATGAGCCTCCTTTCTAATGAACTCCTTTGCGATTGTTTTTTATTTCCTCCACTCCTTCTAATTGCCTTCCCACTTTTTCTTTTCTTCTGCTTTCATTTTTCCCTTCATTTCTTCCTCAGCATTTTTTTCCTCTTCTTTCTAAAGTTCCTTCTTCTCTACAAGATACATTTTATGTATATTGGAAAGAGATTTTAGATTTTTTTGAGACAGCGTCTCACTTCCTTTACCCAGGATGGAGTGCAGTGGCATGATCACGGCTTCCTGCTGCCTCAACTTCCTGGGCTCGGGTGATTGTCCCACTTCCGCCTCCTGAGTAGCTGGGGCTACAGATGTGCACCACTATGCCCAGCTAATTTTTTGGTTTTCTAAAAATTGAGATGGAGTTTCATCATGTTGCCCAGGCTGGTCTCAAACTCCTGGGCTCAAGCAATCCACCTATCTCGGCCTCTTGAAGTGCAGGGATTACAGGGGTAAGCCATCATACCTGGCCTTTAGATTTCTTTTTCTCTCAAAATAGGTAAGGATTTATGTGTCTTCATTTCATCTATCTAGGCTCTTTGTTACACATGCTGTGGCTTAGGAACTCATGGTTGAAAAATAGGTTTTCTCCATTCTTCTAGATCTTCTGTAAGTTATGTTTTGTTACTCTGGAACCCTGTGTATTCACATGATATAAATGAGATGCAATGGGCCAAATGTGACTGGTAAAAGATCAGTCTGCTATATATTTCTACCACCTTCTAGGGTGTTTCCACGAACCAAAGGATCACTCCTAATAGCTAAGCTCTACTCTGCTTATGGTATCAAGAAAAGAAAATTTAATGGAAACTCCATGAGGGAAGGAGTTCTATGCATCTTATTCATTGGATGCTGTATATCCAGCACTTAGTGTCTCACACATAATATGTACGTGATACATATTTGTCCAAAACCCAGTGAATAATGTAGAGTCCTGCACTTTCATAGTAACCCATAAACTTCATGTGATCAGATACTAGATCTGTCAAGATTAGTCTGATATTCATCATACAGTAAGCTCCATTTTCTAACATTCCATTATCAAAGATAACAAGTTCACCTCGGATATTTGAAAATATAGGCTGGGCGCAGTGGCTTACATCTGTAATCCCAGCACTTTGGGAGGCCGAGGTGGGCGGATCATGCGAGGCCAGGAGATCGAGACCATGCTGGCCAACATTGTGAAACCTCTTCTCTACTAAAATACACAAAATTAGCCAGGCGTGATGGTGCGTGTCTGTAATCTCGGCTACATGGGAGGCTGAGGCAGGAGAATCGCTTGAACCCGGGCGGCGGAGGTTGCAGTGAGCCGAGATCGTGCCACTGCACTCTAGCCTGGTGACAAAGCCAGACTCCATCTCAAAAAAAAAAAAAAAAAAAAAAAAAGAAAATATTTTGTGGGAAAATAAGTAATTGCTCTCTGACAAGGGTGTTTTGTGATGTGCTAACTTTCCCTGGATCATATCTGACTTTCTATAAGCTACTGTCTTGATAAATTGGCTTTAAATTGTACACTGACGTGTTTCACTAGTGGAAATTAGTTTTCATAAATCCACTTAAAGGGTCTTATTTCCAGAACTATTGTAATATACATATATTTATATATAATATAATATATAAATATATAATCTACTTATATATCATATATTGTCACTTGTAATAGATAAGTAATATATAACATAGTAATATAGTAATATTATAATACTTTTTAAAAAGAGGACATATTTGGCTGGATATGGTGGCTTACACCTGTAATCCCGGCACTTTGGGAGGCTGAGGCGGATAGATCACCCGAGGTCAGGAATTTGAGACCAGCCTGGCCAACATGGTGGAACCCATCTCTACTAAGAATACAAAACCAGCTGGGTGTGGTGGCATGCACCTGTAATCCCAGCTCTTCAGGAAGCTGAGACAGAAGAATCACTTGAACCCGGGAGGCAGAGGTTGTGGTGAGCTGAGATCGCACCATTGCACTCCAGCCTGGAAAACACAGTGAAATTCTATCCAAAAAAAAAAAAAAAAAGGGACATATTTGAGGTGGGATCAAGTATTCGCGGTCACTTGGAGTTTCTTCTGATAATGGCTCCCACTGGTGAATTCCTTCAGTGTAATAACACAGCTATTGACCAAAAGCTTTTTATTGGCCAGTGTTGAGATTCAGTCCCGTGGTCCAAGTGGTGGCAAAATATGAAACATCTCAATCATATGACAATAGCTTTTGGAGTTGTAATAGGAGAACAGAAGAAACAAGAAGATGCGGGTATGCAGAAAGAGAGCTCAGCTCAGCGCCCCCTGATAAGATGAGTCCTCAGCCTTCAGTCTGCAATTCATAATGTCCTCTTTTTCTTTTTGCTTGATACTCACACCTTCATAGTTATTCCATTTAGGGGTCAACCAGTGCTAATTAGCAATCTTTCCACTTTCTCTGTCACATGGGGCTAAAGGTTACACAGACACATAACACCAGAGCTGCTGGGATGGTTCCAGAGAGGGGCAGTCTGAAGCAAGCTAAAGTTCACAGCATTTCGTGTGGCAGAATTTTGGGAACACCCCAGAAGTCTTGCTTGCACCCATCTGTCTTCACTTTAATTGAGTAGTTGAGTAGCTTTTTTTTTTTTTTTTTAAACAGGCTGGAGTTGCAGTGCCGTAATCTCAGCTCACTGCAACCTCCATCTTCCAAGTTCAAGTGATCCTCCCACCTCAGTCTCTTGAGTAGCAGGGACTACAGGCACATGCCACCATGCCTGGCTAAATTTTGTATTTTTTGTAGAGATGGGGTCTTGCTGTGTTATTCAGGCTGGTCTCAGACTCCTGGGCTCAAGCAATCTGCCTGCCTCAGCCTCCCAAAGTGCTGGTATTATGAGCCACTTCAGCTGTTCTTATATTTATTTGTTTGTAATCTATACTTTACTTCCAAAACAATTTGAGGTAGCCTACAATAGAAACATAAATGCACATAATTATAGGAAAGTTTGAGTAAAGATGAAAGGGGAATTTGAGAACACCTGCAAAAAGGGACAAGTTAATGTGCAAAAAACACAGGACAATATTATTACCTAATTAAGCACTCATTTTTAAACTGAGCTTCCTGGAAGTAATGGTATAAAGAGGAAGGCCCTAAGTAGTTTACTTTCGATGTTTAATATAAATTATATTCTGTTTTTCAGTGTAAATAACCCACCACCACCACCACGATTTTATTTTTTACACTAAATTTTGGAAGGGTAATATGATGTTCATTTTTATATGGTAGAGAGTAGAAATGGTAAAATACTTTATGATTAATTACCATTAAATGCCTTTCAGTTAATATAGAATACAGATTTCAGTGCTACCATGTAGTAAGTGCGTAACATTTTATTATTTTCCAATTTTGCATATAGGTTATATATGTAGGTTACAATACCTTGTGGATTAGTCAGAATTCTCCAAAGAGGGATAACCAGCTGGATGACCTTTTGGCCCTCTTCCAGAATAATGTTTTTATAGTGTGTGTGTGTGTGTGTGTGTGTTTTGCAGGGAGTAATGACATAGCCTTATTGCTTTAAATTCACAAAAGAACTCAGAATCCCTGTATTTCCTACTATATTACAATAGCACATACAAAATAATCCAGAACCATCTAAATTTGTTGTTCCTTATACATAAATATTAAAAAAATGATATATAGAGAGTAGCTAATGGAAAACACTCATTCATTTTGATCACTTGTATATTCTATTGTATGTTGTAACAAACCAAAATGGCTTATTCTGAAATGATTCTTGAGTAATAGATGGCATAATTCATTCAACATGAGATCAGTTTTAATGGAGAAGTATCCTATTATGCATGTCTTGCAATATACATTTAAAAATCATTGTTCTAATTATCATTTATTTACAAAAGGTTTTTCTTTTTCAGAACAAGGCAGCAAATTGAGTAGAAATTGTGTGTATGACCCAGAATATAATTAAATAGCCATAGTGATTAATAATTTCTTTTTGTAATTATGTTTGCATATCTGTAAATTAATTGATGAGGAAGTTATCATGCACATGTTCTTTTAACACTCCTACAAGATGACGAGGGAATTTTCTATAATCGATTAACGAAGCTTTTTGATGAGAGCAGACAAGGAGAACCCCAAGGTAAGAGACCAAATATCTTCACTCTTTTATTTTAACATTAGTTGTAAATTGATTGAAATGGTTTCTTGTAAATGCTCACCTATCTTTTCTAAATATAACCATTCACTGATTACCTATGTGAGCTTTCCATGGTTGTACATATTTAAATGTAGCTGAAGTTTAGGGGAAAAGTAATTATGACCCAATTTCCCATAATTGCATATAATTTATAACCCTAAATGGTGAAAATGATCTAAGATTTACTGTTGAAGGATCTTAAAATGGCATACGGCATACTTGGATTCACTAATTTATGAGACTATGCGCTACTCTTTTTAAAGACTGTGTCTTAGCTTTTGAACAAATGCTTTGGGGTGGTAGAAGACAAGTAGTATACTGTTCTCAACCTTAGCATGGAAATTCATACTTGTAAGTTATGCTTTTTAAGTAAAAACTTATTTTATGTATTAAACTAGTAAAGGTAACCTTTAAAAAACTCGATTCTAAATTCTTCGTTGAACATATATATAAATTCATGCCAGAACCATATTGTAATTTTTGCCAAAAAATTAAATACAAGTTGCTGTATATTTCATGGGGAATAATTCTATTATTATTATTAGTAGTAGTATTATTATATTACCATGTGTGCCTAGTGCTTCTCAATAATTTTGTCTTCCTTATTATAATAACTCCTCAAAGTATATAAGAGGAGAGGGCTGATCATGATAATGTCTTCTAATAGTTATTATTTCTATTAAATTTATGCTTAGACTTCATCATTTACTAGCTGTGTGACCCTGGACCAATTAATTAACCTTTCTTTGTCATTTTTGCCAAATGAACATATAACACCTGTTACATGCAGTAGTTATGATGACTAAATTATTATTACATGAGCAGATGTGACAAGCGCCTACCTAGAATAATAAAAATAATAACAATAATCCTGCTGGTGAAAATATTAATGCCAGTTAAACATTCGAGTGCTTCCTAGGTGCCTGGAACTGTCTGTCCTAAACACTGTTCTAAATAATTCACTTGCTTAAACTTCGTAACAACCTTTAAAGGTTAGTCCTCATTTTTATCCCCGTTTACAGTATAATACCCTTAAAATTTTATTCCTGCTTGGGTACACTTCTCCTTTGCTTTTTTGCTATCAGTTTGTATGGTCAACCATTTATTACTTTTTGCCTTTATAAACAAAGCAAACTCATTTTTCAAGCCAGCTCATTCTGAGGGATCCCAAGTTCAAATGGTGTATCAGAATTATCCAGAGAAGCAGAATCCAGTTGGTTTGACAATATATAGAGAGGCATTTATTTTAAGAAATTGCTTCACTCTGTAGCTGGGATAGCAAGTCTGAAATCCTTCAGACAGGCTGGCAACCTGGAGAATCAGGTAAGAGTTGATGTGAAATTTAGGCAGGAGTTGAAATTGCAATCTTGCGTCTGAATTCCACAGGGCAGCAGTCTGGAAACTCAGGTAGGAGTTGATGTTGCAGTCTTGAGACTGAAATGTGTGGGGCAGGACAGCGGGCTGGAAACGCAACCAGAGTGTCTATGCTGTGGCCTTGAGACTGAATTCCCTCTTCTTTGGAAAGCCCCAATCTATATGTTTAAGAACTTTGACTGATTGGATGAGGCCCACACATATTGTGAAGAGTAATCCGCTTTACTCAAACTCAACTGATTTAAATATTAGTCACATCTAAATACACCTTCCCAACAACATCTAGACTGGTGGTTGGGCAAACAGGTGGGCACCATACCCTGTTCAAGCTGATGCTTAAAATGAAGCATCATAAATGGTTATGCGTAAGTCAGGCCTCTCTGTGTTTAGTCTAACTTCTGACTCAGCAAACCTATTGAATACCTTTTAGTGCTAGACATGGAATAGTGCACTTTTATGCCTGCTGTTTCTTTTCCATTCTGATGGCTTTTTCAGCTTGGATCCTTTGAAACCACCCAAGTCACACATTTACAGATAGCATCTAATAGATCTTCGGAAATCATTTATGGACTTAAGTCTCATAGAATTTATAGAATAGGCATTTTGTGAACTATTTTATAGAAAAGGATGTAGCTGAGACTTAGAAAGTACACTTATGCAAAGTGATACAGTGCATCAGGGCGCAAAGAACAAGGCAAGTGGGCCTCTGGACACTGTAACTCAGTGCTTTCTCCAGCATGCCATCTCATTTCCTCTGTAGAAGAAGCTCTCTTCTGATGATTCTCATTAAAATTCTAGAATAGGAGATGTGGAAAATTTTGTATTATATATTCCAGCATTTTTTACAGACTGGAAGAGGGAAGATCATTTTATATTTACAGCATGCATCTGGCTAGATGAATAGATATCTTTTGTAGATGACACTGTGTTCAGGTGATAGAGAAGTAAAGTATGCATACCATTTATATAAATGCTGCCATTTCTATGCAAATAAACAAGGTAGCCCAAATAAAGTGCCTCGTGTGCAGAGCTCAGGAAATGTTCTCAGAGATCCTAAGGTGGGAAAATGAACCAAAGAGCTCTGGCTTCTTCTAAGCCTATTCATCTCCTAAACAGGTTACAGCAACACAGCGAGTAAGTCGTAAGATATTGAAGTAAACAACATGTAATATTAACGCACAGAAAAGCACACTATCCACATTTCAAGATATATTTGGTAACTGGGAAAAGGGCTTAAATGTACAGCTGTACTTTGTTGAGTCTGTAAACATTATGGGATAAACAAAGGTGGTGGTGGTTGTTTTTTAATCTTCAAACTTCTGTGCTTTAGTTGTTTTCCAGTACATGAAATAGAAAATAATTTGTTAGTTGGTCGATTATGAAAAACCAAACTTTATTGCATATAAGAAAATCAGTGATTAGTCTACTGTGTGCTTAGTCAACATTAAATTGGCAAAAACAAGTGGAATTCCATGTGATTCTCTTGGGGTAAACAGATGAGAGCGGCCGGGAGGAGAATCTGAATTCCGAAGCACCTGGGAGTTCCAATAAGAGTCACGAAATCCACCAAGAAGCCAGTGAAGCCACCCCTGCTTACCTTGAGGAGTTCCAAAGATATGCTCAAAAAAATGTAATTCTGCTTGGGAGTTCTCCACTAGAACAGGTCAGCATTAAGCGTATATTGAGAAATGTAAGATAATTTCTCTTTTTCAAATGACAAGTTGAAGTTTCAGGCCTACACGTGGTCTACTGATTTTGCTTACCAGCACACTCTTCCTAGAACACACTATTTATCACTTCATTGAGTCCTTTCCTTATTTTTTATACACGTTGTAAAATGTGTAGGCAGAAGTTATGCTCCTTATCAATATCCTTACCTATCCTGGATATTGATAAGGAGCATAATTACTGCCTACGCATTTTACATTTTACATGACATTTAGTTTGTACAATTTAGTTTCATTATCTGGTTTATTTTGTGTTAGAGTGCTCATTTCTAGCATATTGTGAATGACTGATAATAAAACCCGAAACCAGCATACACTTACTTGGAAAAATTAAGAACCTGCTTGGACTTGTTTGCACAAGCACTGTATTACTACGCGAATATTCTAGCATTTCTAAAGTCACTATTTAAGGAACTTGGGCATTCTAACCATTGGACTTATGCCACATAACAGTCTTTAGCTGTTAGACTATCTTGACTTCAGAGACAATCTGATTTATCTTCTGATTTCTGTATCTTTGGTTCTATTTATGTGTAATGTGGCATTATGTGCTCTGACCCACCAGAGAGAGAAGTGATCAAAATACAAGAATCTTATATGTCTAGCTCCAGGCATATGTGTGTGTGTGTGTGTGTGTGTGTGTGTTGTTGTTGTTGTTGTTGTTGTTGTTTTGTGAAAGGTAAGTAGATTCAGGCTAAAGAGGAAAAAATTCATCAGGTGAAAAAGACTATTATCAATGAGATCTTTTATAACAACAGGTCACAAGTGGAGATATCATTTGCAACTTCAGAAGAGACAGGTATCAGTCTACATGGGATAGGCTGATTCTGTAAATATCTTGAAAAGGTGCTATCGCTGATGCTTCCTGTCTAAGGCCATCAAGGCAGCAGGGTATCACCTGATATGGTTTGGGCCTGTATCCCCACCCGAATCTCATCTCGAATCGTAATCCCCACATGTCAAGGGAGGGAGCTGGTGGGAGGTGATTGGATCACGGGGACGATTTCCCCCATGCTGTTCTTGTGATAGTGAGTGAGTTCTCATGAGATCTTACGCTTTAAAGGTGTTTGGCAGTTCTCCCCAGCTCTCTCTCTCATGCTTTGACATGATAAAACACGCCTTGTTCTCCTTCACCTTCCAACAAGATTGTAAGTTTCCTGAGGCCTCCCCAGCCATGTGGAACTGTAAATCTATTAAACCTTTTTTTTCTTTGTAAATGACCCAGTCTCAAGTATGTCTTTATAGCAGTGTGAAAATGGACTAATACAGTATCCCACAGCATGAAGAGAGTAGAAGAAACAAAACCAAGAGTGGGGAGGATGAGAGGGGAAGTGGGGAGGTAACACTCTCAGAGTCAACTAAGAACATCCCACTTCAGGGGCCATGCAAATGATGAAATATCATTTTTATTCTTATCATAGGGCAATTGAGTTGCCTAATTATAGAAAGCTACTTTAGAAATATTTGTGCTGACTTTTTATATCCCACTGACATTGGAAAGCTTGTAGGAAGGGTTTTATAAAATGACTTAGGTCTGAAAATTATCTAGTAAAGAATAAAATTCACTGATTAAGTGCATAGCTTTAATAAATTTAGTCACAGAGGAAATTCAGGAAAACAATAATACATTGTTTTTGAACTATGTATTGAATTAGATATAAAATAATTTCATTTTTCATGTTAGCCTCCAGGAGGAAATGTTTTCCTGGACATTCCCTAGTATCTACTGCATGCTGTGTACCTGTTCCTAATCAGTTGCAGATAACTAGGTTTTCCTCCGAATTTTAATTGTAAACAATCCATACATTGTTTATTCAATTAGGAAACCATGATTTAAGGAGTTTTTTTTTTTTGCAATTAATGAGTAGTGTTTTTTAAGGTTTCATCTTGATTTAATAAATAAAATATAGCATTTAGGCTAATGGTGGAATAAATATGCTAGCCCAGACTAAGCAGATGCCAGAGAAACATTCTGAAAAACAAACTAGCATATACTGGCAATTAACCCTACTTTTCCAAATTCTTCATAACTTCCTGGCATTTGACAGTAGGCGTGATTCAAATCTAAGATTGTGAAGTGAGTGAATGCTAAGTTTGAGATCAGATACTTGGATATGAGAGACATTTAAAAATGTAAAATCCGTACTAAAATCTATGTAAATTTAAAATGAATTTCATAAGGTACTTTAACAGATTAATCATTGTATTTTCTGTAAGCCAGAAACATATATTCTACTCTGAGATTAGTATAGAAAACATTTTTGGAGGGAAAATTGATTTTCGGAAATCACTTGAGGCATTTACATGATTTCCTTAACTAATACAGTAGCTCTTATACCATCCCTTAAACATTATATTTAGTATAAATGCCGATATAATTTAAAAATTTAGTTAATAAAACTATAAAAGGCAAAAAAGCAGGAGCACAAATATTTTATGGAAAAAAAAAACAGTGGTGATTGTCCATATTTTACTTTAAGGGAAACGATAGTGACACTGCCATTCTTTACAGTTTGCAAGTTCTATCATATTCTTTGCTTTTGTGAGATGAACAAGAAAAGTGCCCTGTTATAAATATGAAAGAAACTCTAGAGGACAGAAATATCATTTTATGCTTAAAAGACTCACAGAATTTGAACTGAAAGATTTTAACACTTGGCTTTCTTTTCATTTATTATTTTATTTATATTTTTAAATTCCCTGTTAGCTACTTAACATACCTTTTTTCCTTTTTTTTTTTTTTTCCCAGAGTCTCGCTCTGTTGCCCAGGCTGGAGTGCAGTGACATAATCTCAGCTCACTGCAACCTCTGCCTCCCAGGTTCAAGTGATTCTCCTGCCTCAGCCTCCCAAGTAGCTGGGATTACAGGTGCCCACCACCATGTCCAGCTAATTTTGGGTTTTTGTTTTTTTTTTTTAAAGTAGAGATGGGGTTTCACCATGTTGGCCAGGATGGTCTTGAAATCCTGATTTCAAGTAATCTGCCTGTCTTGGCCTCCCAAAGTGCTGGGATTACAGGTGTAAGTCACCGTGCCTGGCCTATTTGGCATACTTTTTGAGCTGCCCAGAATATTCTGGAGACACCTGGATAGAGACTTTCTTGCCAAAGTTGACTGGAATTCCAAGAGAAGCAGGCCACTGTTGAGAATGAATAAACATATTTTAGTGACATTATCTTTGCTTGGAAAATTATTTAGCAGTGACAATTTTGTATTTACTTAGTATCAGGTCACATTCTATAAGCACCTCTAGGTGAAAAGTTTTTGTTTCATTTGGAAAACAAAAATGATGCTATTTTGTTACTTTTTTCATTATGATTTATTTTATATACCATCTTTTTTTTTCTTCTGCCATTGGTAGTATTTTTAGTTAATGCAGGAACACAAAATAGTCTCTATTCTCCTTTCTAATACTAGGAGCTATTGAAGTTGAGGCAACTGAGGTTACTGAAGAAATTTTATATCATTTTTAAAAATGTGTGGATTCACAAATGTCCATCAGTGACAGACTGGATTAAGAAAATGTGGCACATATACACCATGGAATACTATGCAGCCATAAAAAAGGATGAGTTCGTGTCCTTTGTAGGGACGTGGATGCAGCTGGAAACCATCATTCTCAGCAAACTATTGCAAGAACAGAAAACCAAACACCACGTGTTCTCGCTCACAGGTGGGAATTGAACAATAAGATCACTTGGGCACAGGAAGGGGAACATCACACACCAGGGCCTATTGTGGGATGGGGGGAAGGGGGAGGGATAACAATAGAAGATATACCTAGTGTAAATGACGAGTTAATGGGTGTGGCACACCAACATGGCACATGTATACACATGTAACAAACCTGCACATTGTGCACATGTACCCTAGAACTTAAAGTACAATAAATAAATAAATAAACTTAAAAATTGTTAAAAGTCAAATTTAAGATGAAAAAAACATGTGTGGGTTCACAGCATAACAGCAATCCATGAATGAGTAAAGCAATTGATTCCACAATCTTTCAAAATATGGTGGTCCAAGCATATATCCCTGGTGGTCAAGTATGGTCCAAGGATAACATTTTATGTATTTATAGACGAGATGGGCTGATTATTATTCAGCGAACATAATTTCTAAGAACTGAAATTCAGTACAAATAGATTGTCAGATAATTTAAGGTTGTATTATTAAATAAGAATCAGAAGGGCAGAAATTCTTTATTTGTGATTGGGGCAGTTACCTTTTCTTTATTACTCAACTAAGCCTTAGGGGATGGTTGGTTCTTGGGCTCTTATGGAAATTCAGGAGCCAGACAGAACAGGAACCAGAATAGGAAGCCACCTAGCTCTGCGTGGACTGGGGTGAAAGAAGAATGTGTGTTGTCATTATTGGGAGTAGAGTAAGTCCTCACTTATGTTGTTGATAGGTTCTTGGAAACTGTGACTTTAAGTGAAATAACGTATAAAAAATTAATTTACCATAGGCTAATTGATATAAACAAGAGTTAAGTTCCTATGGCATATTTGTAGTCACAAATACATCACCAAATATCTAAATAAAGATCAAAACGCTTCTAATTTTCAGCATTGAAATAAATGTAGGCTTTATATATGTTTAAGAAAAATTATTAAAAATGAGAAATATTGGCTAAATAAGAAAAGGTATTACCCACTGATTCCAGTTTAGGGTGGAAGGTGGCTGGAGTCTGTCCCAGCAGCTCAGGGTACAAGGTAGGACCCAGCCCTGGACAAGACGCCATCCCATTGCAGGCTGCATTCACACACACCCACAGTCATCCACACTGGGACAGTGTAGACACACCAGTGAACCTAGTGGGCACATCTTTGGGATGTGAGAGGAAATGGGAGGACCCAGAGAGAACCCACACAGACATGAGGAGAACGTGCAGATTCCACACAGGCAGTGGCCACGGCAGGAAATTGATTTTCTTTGT